TGAGTCAGAAGTTTTGGCAAGGATGACGGACGGGGAAGTTAAGGATATAATATCAAGGGATCCTCTGATCATGAAATTTGGAGCTATTCAGCATGAAAAACTGGGAAAAAGAGGGTTCAGCAACATCAGCCAGCGTCTTCGTGCGATCGCATCCTTCCTTCAAGCGTCCAAACATGCCAGCATGCTGGAGTTTATCGCTCCGGAGAATATTGACGAGGCCATACGCTGTGGCAAACTCATGGGCGGACTGGACGACACAAAAAAGAACTCCCACACTGAGTTGCCTGAGTATGCAAAGCCCAGCAAAGCCATGCGGCTTGGCGGAGAGCTCCGCCAGCTCGCCCTCCTCAAGAAAGGCATGTCACTGGAACGCAGAGACGTAAACGCGGCCAAAGATGCCGAAGACTTCCTGGCGCTGGTCGACCTATACTGGAACCCACGCGTCGCTCATGTAGCCTTGAAAACAAGAGATGCGAAAAAGTATTATGATAAAGTAAATGTACTGCCCCTGACCGACGACCTGAAGAAGTTCACCGAAGAAACGAAGGCTATCCTTCAAGCGAAAGGTGAAAGATAAATCACAACCAGAGAGGATTATGTGGCTGTCACAAGGACCGTCCTTGCTCGACTGCTCGTCTTTAACAAACGTAGGCCGACGGAAGTCTCCAGGGTCTTGTTGGCTTCCTGGGAGCACAAAGATCGCTACAAGACTGAGACCATCACCGAGATCAAAGAAAACATGGGGACACTAGAGCGGCAGCTTTATGACAAGCTAGATGTTCTAATGGCCCGTGGCAAACGCGGCAACAAAGTGCCGGTGCTGGTACCGCAGGATGCGGCGCAGGCTATAATGGGGTTGCTGCGGGTCCGTGATAAGTACATCCCAGCTGGGAACAGGTATCTATTGGCCTCGCCGAGCAATAAGAGTGGGCACTACAACGGAGGCCTAGTCCTCAAGGCTGTTGTTGAGGCATTGCACCTTGATCAGCCCAAGCTCTTCACGGCCACGCGCCTCAGAAAATACTGTGGCACAACATCGCAGATGCTGGCTCTGTCGGACTCAGACTTTGAAGTTTTGACGAAGCACATGGGTCATGATAAAAACGTGCATAGAGGATACTACCGCTTGCCAGACACGACACTGGAGCTCACCAAAGCTGCAGTTTTGATGATGACCCTGGACTCGGGCAAGGTGTCTAAGTATTCTGGAAAGGACCTGGGAACTATCCTCGAGCTGGATGCCAAAGATGATGATGATGATGACGAAGAAGAAGGCGGAGAAGACGAAGAAGCATCCGGGCTCGGGAATGATGAGCGGCAGCCAGAGCCAGAAGGAGAAGGGCAAAAGAAACGACCTCACCGTCGATTCACATTGAGTCAGACGAACCTCCTTGTCCGCCTGCTGGAGGCGCGCCAGGGGGTCCCGAAGGCGAGCGAGCTTCGTGCGTGGGTGGCTCGGCAGGAAGGGGCATTCGGGGACAGAAAAATCAGTCAGATAAGGGCGAAACTGCATAACATGGCGCGCGCGCGTAGCCTGAAGGCCCCGTGAACACTGCCTGTCTCGGCCCCCGCCGAAGTTAGTTGGTAGCACTGCTGCTCCACGGCGTACATTTCCTACCAGCCCATAGGGTTTACATGTTAAATGGCCTGTTTTCGGCGAGCGATATCTCGGTCAACCTTTGAAGGAATCAATGGTTCTTAGTCTCAAATGATAGATCGATGAATTTTCTTTCGACAATTCCTCTACCATTTTTCACGAAACCCAGCCGATCTTCTACGGCGTACAGGGTAAAGATTTCTCTGCACGCCAGCACCCGCGATCCGGCTCTCCGATCGTCGGCGCGCGGTCCTTGGTAGCGCAGTCGGTAGCGTATCGGGCTACGGATCCGAGGGTCGTGAGTTCGAATCCTGGGAGCGCCGCGTGATTTCGGCTAGAATTGAATGATGTAGATTCTTGAATGTTTGCATAATCAATTATTAATAGCTAATTGAATGTATCTGCCCACTTATCGGCCCCTAAAACCTGTTATTTAAGAAATTTAATAAATGAATGTCACGTGCGCGTCACGACTGCCAACCATAAGCGCTACCATATTCTATGAACTAAGTTTTTGCTAGTGCCGACCACATATAGTAGGTTTTCTAGTAGTTATACTAGAAATTCCTACCAAAGTTTGTCCTACCCTTCACTCAATATACCCTGGCCTGTCTCCTGTCAATGTCTCCCGAGTCTGTCTGTCAGAGATTCTTTGTTTGTTATGGAATTCCAAGAGTGAAAAGAGAATTCCAAGAGAACAACATCTAACATGGCGCGCGATCGTAGCCTGAAGGCCCGTGAACACTGTCTGTCTCCTGTCCATGTCTCCCGAGTCTATCGTCAGAGATTCTTTGTTAAGGAATTAATTCCAAGAGTGAAAAGGGAATTCCAAGAGAATGCCAGAGTGTTTGGAGTGTTCCATTAAAATAAATGGTGCCAACCGTTTCATTATGTTTAACCGATTAAAAACGGTGGGTATATTGTTGAGCGGATGGTTTATCCATACCGAAGCTGTTGTAGTGTGTGTGGGAGAGGGGAGGGGGTCAGCTATTGGACTTGTGTTAATCGACTCATGCCGTTCTAGTCTCTCAGATTTCCCGCCACCCACTTACACATTTTCCCATCTTTTTTTTTTACTGAAAAGCGGCAATGTCAAACCATTTGACAACTTAATAGGTGGAAGTGTTTTGCGAAGAACAGACATTTCCGCCAGTGCGCCATTTTTACGTTTATGGATTCTGCAACATAAATGCTTTACCGATGTTTAGATCGTTTCACTGAACGCACACATTCTAGGTATTAGAGGTTCTTTTTCAGAAATTGGCATGTGGACCTGCGAACTTCCCCAACTCATCTCAACACAACTCGCCCTGGTTTCACCAAATCATCATCATCATCATCATAACCAAGTTTATTAAACAAAAAATACGGGCTGAACTTGTACAAAATATAAGACAGGCGCAAAAGCAAAAGCTTAACTCAAAGCGCCTTGTCTGAATGTCATACATAAACAAATGTAAAACACGGCTGCGGCCGCCGCCACGGCACAGCTCACCAGCAGTTGAAGTCGCCGCTCGCCCGCCGTTCCTCTCCGGAGATCGAAACAGAAGCTACAGGCCGAGGAAAAGGTGAAAGGTGAAAATGGTAAAAGGGTGAAAAAAGAAAAAGGTGAAAAATTTACACTGGAGTGAATCTCTTTGATGCAATTAAGGAGTTTTGAAAATTTAGGGCCACTGCCATACCGTCACTGCTGTTGAGATCGCTGCCGTAAATTATAATGTCATGTTGCTGCTTTGCGGAGAGTCGTCTAAAGTCTGTTTTTAATGTTTGTGATAGATTGTTAAAAAGATCGTTACGTTCGGATGTGTATTTTGAGCAATGGAAGATGAAATGATCGGTGTTTTCATTGTCATTCCCGCAATCACATTTTGGTGAGTCCACTTTTTGAATTGTGAAGAGATGGGCATTTAAGTGAGACATATTCATACGAAGCCTGGAGTGGAGAGTGTTGCCTGCTTTGGAACCAATTCTGTAAAATTTCGGTGGATCTGGAGCCCCCAGCTGCTGACGTATGTCCTTTTTGAAGTGGTTGTGTGAGAGTTGCTGGATGTCATGTCTTAATATGTTCCATTGTCTAGTTGTGGTTGGCAAAAATGACCTTTTACAGGATGAAGTGTGGATGGGAGATGTGGTGTGCGCAGTTGCGTTTCTGAGACTTCTGTCCGTGTCTTGAGCTCTGGTGTTTGGAAGTAAAGCTGCAATGTAGTCCGGAAGGTTTTCTGTTGTGCTGATTTTGTGGTAGAGTGTGTGTATCTGTCGTCTTGTTGTCAGTCTGTCCCATCCTAATTCTCCCAAGAGTTTGTCGTTTGGTGTTCTAAAAAGTCCTCCTGTAACAAGTCTGGCAGCCCTATTCTGTAGCGTCTCTAATTTTGTCGAGTCCTGTATAGTAATGTGTCCATCGTAAATCGTGTCGCAATAGTCAAAGTGCGGTCGTATGTAGGTTTTGTATATTTTGTCCAATATTGTTCTTGGTATGAATTTTGCAATCGGGTACAGGGGACTGTGGGCCGGCCATTTCGGCCGCCCTCGTCGGAGCCGGGGTCCGCGGATGGTGTTGGCGTCACAGTCGGTAGAGGAGAAGTGAGTGAGTGTATTTAGAGAACATAGGTTTTATGGTGGGTGTCGGGACGCAAGCACGTGAACGGACGGGCAGCCGGCCAGCGAGCCGGCTGTCCCGTGTCGCTATGCGCCCCAGACACCCAGACAGGTACAAAAAATAGGGACAGACATTTGGGGCCTCCATCGGGAGTGGGAGGTATGATTTCCTTCTCCACATATCTTTCCTCCCCCAACAAGCCGACAAAAGGAGGCGACCAATAAGCAATCACGATCCTAACTGCATAGATCCACGTATGGCACCGCGCATGGAACGCCAGGTACGACTGCTGCTGCTGCTGCAGGTACGGCTGCTGCTGCTACTGGTACGACTGCTGTTGCTACTACTGCTGCTGCTGTTGTCGCTGCTCTCCGAGTTGGTTGTCTCGTCATTGTAGTCGTCGCTGTTATCGTCGCCGCGATGGCGTTCCGTTGTCGATGCGTGGGACCAGACACCTCTGCTTGTTGGGTGCTGACGTCTGAGCTGGTTGTGAAGGGGCAGCGGCCATGGTGCGCCGTCACGGTGTGGCCTTTACCGTTCACGGGGCGTTGGCTGCCGCCGCACAGCACTGATACCGGAAGACATCAGCATACCAGAACTTGGTGTTGTTAGCGAGGGTGCCGGTAGCCGTGTTGTTCATCGACAGCGGGCGGGCGACGAGTTGTGCTCAGCCATGGTGATGGCGACTGGCACGGGCGACGAGAGTGCCGGACGAACGGACGGAGAACAGCGAAGCACGATGAGCAGATGAGGTAGCAGCGACGGCAGGCGGCCATGTGGGTCAGCCAGGCGTTGGCTTTGGACCTAGGCCACCTGCTGGTTGCAGTTGCAGCCGTTGCAGTCGGTGATGGCGTCCGCAGTTGCAGTGTGTGATTCGTGGACCAGATGCAGAGCGACTGAGACAGCCAGACGGGTCGGCGATGAGCGTCCGATCCCATCATGACTATGATCAGCCAGCTTTTGCAGACCGTGTTGCGTATCGGCGTTTCTCCGTAGTCGATGCTCGGGGAGTCAGATAGTGGCCACTCCCAGATGGGTAACAGAAACGCAAGGTCTGTAATAGAAAAAGAACCGAATTAAAATGTGCCGAAACAATGCCCCAACATATACATCATACACTATACAAAACAGTCATTCATATTTACAGCTGTACAGTACAACATTTGTACAAAAGGCACGTAGCACTGGGCGACACAAGTGTCGTAATGCTTCCCCAGGCGTGCCACGGAACCCATGGACTTTCAAAGGCCAAAACATTCGGGTCCGTAGGACATTCGAATTTGTTTCCGTGTCCAAGTATTCAAACATGCATCCACATACACTTTTGGTTATAATGTTGTGCTATCGCTGTGCCGGTCAGTGATACATTTTCCCTGGTGTGTGATAACAATTGTGTGATAAAACGGCAGTATGAACTTTGTGAAGGCTGAACATTCATTGGAAGACATCATTATATAAATGACACGGAAGACATGTTTTTGACACAGCGGATAGCAAAACATTGAATGATTGTTAAAAACGGGCAGTACCGCCGGTCAGTCGATCGAGAGATCGTTTACGTCGCAAAGTGAGTAGTAAGGAGAACAAAAAATGGGGCTAATGAGCCAATGATCAGCAAAAGACCGGTTTTAATAGTACTGCCAAGTGACTTACTTTAACGAATAAATTGAAGAGGCCAATGTGTTTAGTGGGTTAAAGTGTTATTGGAATATCTAACTATTGTGTTAGAACTTACTTAGTTGTTTAATAAAAAAAATATACGGTTGAAAAAAATGAAGTCCTTTTAAAGAGTGGCGTCTTCTGAACGAGTGCATCTATGTGTATTACGTCATACCCGTGAAATCGTTTGGGAAGGCATGCAAACAGCAATACTTCTAATGTAGTTATATCGCTGGTAAATTGTTGAATTGGCAAACTTTCTGTGGACAATTTTTATTGCCACTTATTACTTTCGCTGGTGTAAATTGGTCATAATAGCCAAAAGTTATTGGTCAATGTTATAGAAGTCGTTTTTTTTTACCAGATGACCAAATTTAAAGCTAATCAGTAGTTAGTTCGATAAAGTTAAATGTTAATTAATTGGGAATATCGAGAAGCATGCATGTCCTTTGGGTATTATTGGACGCTGCACTCGTTCCGCCACAAGAAGCACGAACCTGAAAAAGAAACAGGGCTAATGTGTCAGTATCAAGACATTTTTGACATTGCAACATATGTAAAGAAATGAAAGATGGCAACAGCAAGCGACAACATAGGTTTTGGCAATCATACAAATGAGAATCATTCACCTCTCATACTAGCATATATATCGTGGATGCTTTATTTACAATGAATTGAGCTCAATGAAATTGCAATTGCTCTCTTCCGTTTACATTGAGTAAACCTTTTGCTCAGCCTTTGGCTGGCGGTGTGCGCGAGGGACGTAATCATCAACCTTCGTTCGCATCACGTGAAATGGGATCTCTGTCACCATTTTTGGCCGTACGTCGGCTATTTACATGCGCGGGAGGGACCTCGTCGACCTCATTGTAACGCAGCATGTCTTCTGCAGGCAAATAATATATTTGAGCGCTAAATGGGCGCTATGTGAGCGCTATGTTCCTTCTTGACAGTCTGGGGGGCGTATATTTTTGCGAGACCAGAGGTTATACCGCAGGTGATCAGCCTGACTAACCTCTCGGCCTGCTCGACAATTTCGCCAATCTTCCTCCAGCCGTGTAAGATCACTCTGGTCGATCCCATTCTCTTCAGAAGGAGTCACCAACGTCCCTGGCTTTGCCGGCAGTGTAACAGGTGAACGTGCACCGTTGTTGCTGCTCTCTGAGGCATTACCCACGGAACGAATGGTAGAGTCATTGCTGAGAGACTGTGAATCGACGCAGGTGTCGATTTGATCGTCTTCTTGACGATTGATATTACGGTGCTCTTGTGTACTTGTGCACTGCCTTGGTGCACATTTCCAAAATCTGTGAGCACTTTGGTTCATGTGAAAACGACAGGAGTCTACATACCTTTTGACATCGGAGTATATGTTCCTCCAGTAAAATTGAACTCGAATTTTGGAAAGAATGTTTCTAAATAACTTTTTTCCTGACGAAAAAGTGTCATGGACTTTCTCAAGCATCAGTTTTTTCATTGAATTTGGAACTACAAGTTGTTTCATAAACTGACGAATCTTCGAATTTTGTTTGGCTACATGGTAAAGTAAGCCATCTGAACCTAAGAAAAAATTGGAAAGAGATTCACTCAGCTTCAGATCAGGGCCTTTAGCTTTCGGTTTCACGAGGCGATCAATGATTGGCATCAAATCTGGGTCTTTTCGCTGTTCAGCTTTGATTTTCTCTTTTGTCCATCCTGCGGTTTCTGCACAGACATGGCCAAGAAAGTCTGCTTTGTTTTGTGTATCTAATTCGGCACTAGACGAATGATCAGTTGTAACATTCAAAATACCTGGTAGATAAGTGACATCAAAATCATACTCTGACAGTTTTACTAACCATTTCTTTAAACGACCGCTAAGATGAGTTGACTTGAAGATACATTTTAATGGTGAATGATCTGTCACGACGTGAGTGACATGACCTAAAAGATAAGATCGCAAATGATCAAAAGACCATGAAATTGCAAGGCATTTCTTTTCTGAAGTAGAATAATTTCGTTCAGCTTTGCTAAGCTGTCGACTAATAAAAGCGATTGGGTGAAATTCATCACCATATTTTTGTTCAAGTACGCCACTAATGGCGAAATCACTTGTATGTGTAAATAGGTAGAAGTCTTTTTCGAAATTTGGAAATTTTAATAAAGCGCATTTTCGAAGTGACCTTTTTATCGATGAGAATGCTTTTTCGCACTCTTTTGACCAAATAAAATCAACATTTTTCTTTGTCAATTGAATTAACGAAGCAGTAAGCTCAGCCAGTTTTGGAATGTGTCTGCGATAATAGTTCGCAAACCGAAGGAAAATACGAACATCTTTCGCTGTTTCTGGTACAGGAAAATCTTGTACCGCTTGTAATTTGGATGCATCTGGACGAATTCCATGTTTGTCAAGTATGAAACCCAGATACTTTACCTGAGATTTCATAAATTCACACTTTTCGGGGTTGATCACAAGATGAATTTCTTCTAAACGAGAACATATATTGTCGAGTTTTTCTAAATGCTCGTCGTATGTTTTGCTACCGATAAGAATATTGTCAATATATAGAAATGCATCTATGCCTTGTAGACTACTGAGTACAATTTGCAACCCTCTGTTGAGAACGGAGGAACTTGAACGAAGACCCATTGGTTTATCGTTCATAAGATATTTGTCGTCATCATTTGCAAAATCCGTAGAATGACTTGAAGCTTCATTCAAAGAAATTTGGTGGAATGAACTAAGCAAATCCAAGGTAGAGAAAACTTCACAGTCAGAAAGTTGATCTTTGACCTGTGATGTAAATGAACGAGAAAACTTGTCATCCTTGATTTTGGAGTTGAGAAGTCGCAAATCTGAAACGAGGCGATATTGACCATTTGATTTCTTGATAAGAATGATTGGAGAGTTATATGGTGAAACTAATTGTTTGATAACTCTGGCTGTTACCATGCGTTTTATATCTTCCTTAGTTATCTCCCGATTAGCAAATGGGGGACTTGTTCGTTGATCAGCCGGAGTGTGGTCTGTGAATCCATTGTGATTTTTGTAAACATCTGTCTGTTGTATGTCAGAAATATCATTTCCAAAGACATGTCGATGTTTGTCTAAGAATTCACGGAGTTTAAAACGAAAGTGTATTGGGATGTGTTTCAAATCAATGTCACTGACAGACCTGTGCCCTGACGTCCTCGGGATAGAGGTCGTCGGTCTGTTTGTTTCTGTCATGCGTCCGGTGTCTGACGCAGCCAAGTCCGGCCCAGCGACCGTTTTTTGTTGTGGCGAGACGCTGGCGGAATTGGGAACAGACGGCGCTGTTTGACAGGCACTGACTGACCCATGGTACTGAGCAAGGTCAGCGTCCTGTCTGATGGGATGGGGTCGGTCTGTGACCTGACTGAAGGGGTACTTTTTGGTCGGATGGGCTTGTGCGATTCTCTGATTTTTTCTCAAAATGACTGGGCTACTTGAAGCATTAATCACGCGTACAAGCGTGCCTGAATTTTCCAAGAAATTGATAGAACGGGCTACCTGAATGTCTCGAATACTTTGATCACAATGCGTTTGAATTAGGTATGGAAATTCATTTGGTTGTAGGAATTGTGGTAATTTTACGCGTACAAATTTTTCGCCGTAACCAAAAATTTCTACTGTTTGTTTCACGAATAATGGATATGACTTTTCGTCATCAATAGTCAATGCATGTTTTTCTGCAGTTGTGAACATGTCTACCGTTTTATCAGGATAAACGATTTGATCGACACATTTTTCATTGTCCTTTGTTGATAAAAGAAAACGTACTCTTTTACGTCTTTTGGGACTCAGACGTTTTGAGCGTCTTTCGACTACATTGGAAGAAAGAATTGGTTTTAGAAAGTGCACCGTACGACTCGATGGATTGAAAATCAATTTGTGAGCAATGATAAAATCGATTCCGAGAATGATATCGCATTTGAATGGCAAACTTTTTGCTGTAATGAAAAATTTGTGTTGAACTGTTTGACCAAGAATGCTAATGTTCAGATTGACTTCACCTACAACGTCAATAGGGTTTCCAGTAACATCAAGAATAGAGACACTGGGAGGTTCGTAAGCTATTTTCAAACCAGATTTTTGCAGACATTTTTCTGAAACTAAAGAGACACTACTTCCACTATCATAAAGAGCTGAACAAGCTTGACCCGAAATTTTGACGTCACGTAAAACCGGGGGATGTGCTGAACGGTCCCTGTCATCTGAAGCGACGCTCACGCACTCATCCCCTAGTGCAGTGAGCGGATCCCGTTTGGGCTCTGATAACGAGAGTGTCTAAATGGCGAAAAGTTCCGGTGACAACATGTCGAAAAACATTTTGTTTGATTTTGTTTGGGACGAGATTGACGATCACGTCCTCGGCTCTGAGATTTTGATGGATTTTGATCTTGTTGAGCAATAAGCTCTTCTGCTACAGCTAATTCTAAATGAGCAATTCGCCTTAAAATATCGTTCATCTGGGTATTGTACTCAATACTAAAATTTCTGGTAGCATCTTCCATGGTAAGTCTAGCAAATAATAAAAAATCACATGTAGATAAACGAATGGAACTAAATATCAAATCTCAAATCTCAAATTTCAAACATTACAAAAAGCAAATAAAATTAATTTAAAAGAGAACTCACCTGAAGCCAAAAATCCTCCACCGACAACCAACCACCACCGCTGGCACCAATTGTGGGCCGGCCATTTCGGCCGCCCTCGTCGGAGCCGGGGTCCGCGGATGGTGTTGGCGTCACAGTCGGTAGAGGAGAAGTGAGTGAGTGTATTTAGAGAACATAGGTTTTATGGTGGGTGTCGGGACGCAAGCACGTGACCGGACGGGCAGCCGGCCAGCGAGCCGGCTGTCCCGTGTCGCTATGCGCCCCAGACACCCAAACAGGTACAAAAAATAGGGACAGACATTTGGGGCCTCCATCGGGAGTGGGAGGCATGATTTCCTTCTCCACAGGACTAAGAGAAACATTTACCTTGCGACAGATCGTTTTAATGTGTTGTTTGAACCGGAGATCTTTTGATAAGGTTATTCCAAGGTGTGTGTGACTATCGTGGACAGGGATAGGGTCGTCTCCAAATTTGAGGATGGGTTGCTGGTAATTGGATATGTGAGAGAAAGTTTGCTGGACCGTTTTTGTAGTGTTGAAAGTTATTGCCCATTTATTACCATATTCGAAAACCTTATTTAAGTCGTTTTGAAGTGAAAGTTGCGCTGCCTGAAAATTATCATTTTTGTATGATGCGTATATAGAGGTATCATCTGCAAAAAGTAATATGTTTTGTTGAGTTTGAGTTGATAATTGATTTAGATACATGAGCGCAAGCAATGGCCCCAAAACGGATCCCTGAGGGCAGCCGGAATTGATTGTCGAAGTGGTCGAAAATGTATTGCCTATCTTAACGCGTTGCTTCCTGTCTTTTAAATATGATGTAAACCATTCCAAAAGTGTTCCCGTGATACCGAATTCATGTTTACATTTGAAAAGTAGTCCTTTATGCCAAATTTTATCGAAATACTTTGATATGTCAAGATATATTGCAGTAAAGTCTTCTTTTTGGTCTAATGCTTTGTACAGGTTATGTGTCAGGTAAAGAAGTTGATGTTGAGTGCTGTGGTGTTGTCTGTAGCCGCTTTGTTTGTCTGATAGCATTGCGTTTTCTGTGATGTGTTTATATACGTTTTTGTGCACGATTTTTTTCGAACACTTTAGAAAGAACCGAAAGTATGCTAATTGGCCGGTAACATTTATAGTCTGAAGGTGTGCCCTTGTTTTTGAAAATTGGCTTTATATTGGCTTCTTTAAATTTACTTGGGTAACGTCCTTCCACTAGAGATTTATTGAAGAGGTCTGCCAATGGTTTGGCGATCAATAATGCGATAAGTTTAATTAATTTTACCGGGATTTCATCTGGGCCTGTCGATTTGTTTTCATTGAGTGAGTTCAAAATTTTCAGCACTTCTTGTTCTGACGTGACTATGTTTTCTAGTGTTGGCCTCGGGACATTCGATGGCTCATATTGTGGAGGTTCCTGTGTGTCGGGAATGTCAAGTGTCGATTGTGTGGCAAAGTATTTATTTAACAGTGTTGCTTTTTCCTTGTCGTCGTTTACTATTTCTCCGTGTCCTGATTCTATTGGCGGAATTTCGTCGTCGCGAGTTCGTCCTAATGTGCTGCGTAGTATTGAATGGTATTTATGAGGGTTCAGCTGATGAGTCAACAGTTTATTCAGCTGATTTTGTAAGTGTTCGTTTTTAAGCTTTCTGTTTAATGATGTAACCAGGTTTCTTTGGTACTTCCATCTGTCCCAATTGAATGTTGTCTGTGTGGTTTTTGCAACCTTGAAAAGTCTGTTCCGTTTTCTTATGTTTTGTTTTAGTGCTGAGGTCATCCATGGTTTTTCTCGTTGATAGATTGTTTTGTGCTTTTTCGGGATCGAGGCGTTGGCAGCATTTTGTATTGTTGATATGAACAAATTTGTCGCCGTGTCAATGTCATTACTGAGGATTGCCTCCCAGTCGGTGTCCAATAGGAGTCTTGTGAGAAGTGGGGCATCTAATTTCGAGTAATCCCAGATAAGTGTTTGTAAAGGTTTTTTTGTCTACGGATGGTGGTGCTGTGTCAATTCTTACATATATTGGAAAGTGATCGAGATTTGAGAAAGACGATAATATGCCACTTTTTATGATTGAATTACTATTTGTGAAGATTAAGTCCCGCAAATTTTCCCGTCTGTCCATTATTCTGGTAGGTTCGGTGATCAATTGTCTTAGATTTGTCATGTCTGCAACGTCTTTGAGTGTTTGGTCGAAGGGTGTAACGCCACTGTGATTGATTAATTTTGAATCAAGAAAGATATTACCTGTGTTGAAATCCCCTAAGATAAAGGTCTCTGCCGCATTTATAGAACTAGCTTGGCATATCGATTCAGTGAAGTTGCTTGAAAATGATCGTTATCTGTCAGCGGTCAAATTCGGTGGCAAGTATATACAACCGGCCTCCGGTCGACAGACATGGTAGCCCAAATCTAGTCGGATATGAAGATTCTTCCAAATCCATAGACTTTAATGTTAAATTGACTATATTTGAGAGGGTTTTATGAAGATACCTGACCAGATACAGGAAAACCCACCATTTTGTTAGGGTTTTCATGGGATTTCATATAATACCCATATTGGGGGGATGCGTGCGATACTCTTGCCAGAAATGCGTGGGTAAAACTTTACAAGGGCGTTTTTACCCCATAGATTTCAATGCCCATAGGGGTTTCTTCAGCCAGATTGGTCATCTGGGCCTGTAGTATCACCATGCCGATTTTGAAGAAAATCGTAGGGGCCGCCCCATTGACCGAAAATTTTCATCTTGGGTAAACTTTACCCTGGATGGGGTAATGGGTAAATTTTACCCCACCATTTTGTTTGGGTTTTCATGGGCTTTCATATGATAACCATATTGGGGGGATGCGTGCGATAGTCTTGCCAGAAATGCGTGGGTAAATTTTTCCATGGGCGTTTTTACCCCATAGATTTCAATGCCCATAGGGGTTTCTTCAGCCAGATTGGTCATCTGGGCCTGTAGTATCACCATGCCGATTTTAAAGAAAATCGTAGGGGCCGCCCCATTGACCGAAAATTTTCATCTTGGGTAACTTTTTGGGTAACAAACTTTACCCTGGATGGGGTAATGGGTAAATTTTACCCCACCATTTTGTTTGGGTTTTCATGGGCTTTCATATGATACTCATATTGGAAGGATGCGTGCGATAGTCTTATCAGAAATGCGTGAGTAAAACTTTCCAAGGGCGTTTTTACCCCATAGATTTCAATGCCCATAGGGGTTTCTTCAGCCAGATTAGTCATCTTGGCCTGTAGTATCACCATGCCGATTTTGAAGAAAATCGTAGGGGCCGCCCTTTTGACCGAAAATGTTCATCTTGGGTAAACTTTACGCTGGATGGGGTAATGGGTAAATTTTACCCCACCATTTTGTTTGGGTTTTCATGGGCTTTAATATGATACCCATATTGGGGGATGCGTGCGATAGTCTTGCCAGAAATGCGTGGGTAAAACTTTCGAAGGGCGTTTTTACCCCATAGATTTCAATGCCCATAGGGGTTTCTTCAGCCAGATTGGTCATCTGGGCCTGTAGTATCACCATGCCGATTTTGAAGAAAATCGTAGGGGCCGCCCCATTGAGCGAAAATTTTCATCCTGGTTAAATCATGCTGTTGGTTAAATTGATCCGGTATTTAACCATATCATTAGGTCCGGGGTGAAGAGATCTTTCAAATGGTGGTCTTATTTTTCAGTTTCGTCCAGCCGTTTAGGCGTAAAACGGTTTTTAGATTTTTCCCTAGATTTTTAGATTTTTCCCTAGATTTGGCAGCCCCAATCTGGGCTGGGCCGAATGTGGGCTGAATGTGGGCTAACTTCCGTTACATGTCAATCATACATGAGCCGATCGGGCCGCCGTATACGGGTTCGGTCCCGCAGACGATATCGCGGCGACACGACGACGGCGCGGCTGGGGTCCCGGCTCACCGACGAATCACCGCAGCCGGCCCCAGACGGCCGGCTCGGCAGATCAGCAGCCGGCAGCGGAACGACTGGTGACCGGCTAGCGTCATGCGCCTCCTGGTCATGACCCGCACACACTATGTCGTCTAAAAACAGGCCGACCCCGGGAATGCCAGCCAACACTGACTCTATGGTGCGTTGGAACAAAGACACAGCGCTAGCATATCCAAAACCCAACCGACAAGGTCGCAGCAAGCATGGGCTCGCCACCGGGGGACGTGCCCCCCAAATATTTTACATTTTTAACATTATGCCTGTGGGTGCTGCATGGAAAGAATCGACTTCAAGCGGCCTTCGCCCAACCCCCCCCCCCCCCCCCTCCAACCATCGGGTCGTACTCGTGACGGAACCCTTGGCAGCAAGCCCTTCGGTGTGTTCACCGTGAGGTATTCATGTGAGCGTTGGTTGAGCACCAGCTGGTTATACCTATGCACTTTTCAAGTCTTACTTAGAAAAAAAAAAACTGTGCAGCCTGCCATTTTAGAACACAGCTCCTCGATACGGGGCGGGTAGGGGGGGGGGAGGGTTCTGCTAAACTTCTGCTTTGTTTATTGTGAGACGATATTCGCCACAAATCCGCACAGATTTCCCCCCATCCTTGGGCACTACTACTAGAGGTGCCGCCCACTTACTGTGTCGAACAGGTTCCCAGAGACCGTCTCTGATCCCCTGCTCCAGCTGGGCGTCGACCTCATCCCGGTAGGCCAGAGGAACGGTGCGCGGCTTAACCCTCGCCCGCACATGCCATTTTACCATCCTGGAACGCACATGGGGGGGGGGGGGTTGCCACCCCCCCCGCGCCATTTCGTTCCTGTTGAAGATAGAGCTTAGCGGTAAAGACCAAAAAGATTCTTTGGGAAGAGACGAATCCAATGATACCCAGTTTTACCTTCTCAGGTCAGTCATTGACCTTCCAGGTCAGGTCAAACTAAAAAATGTTGCTGTTTTGTTTGGGTCACCGTTGGATATCAAGTGCGCTGCTTATCATATACCGATGACGATGCCTTTTTCTGGACCCAAGCCAGCTAGAACCTCTTTGTCACACTATCCGACCAGGTTTTTGCTGCTGAGGTCATTTCAGGTCAAGTTAGGTCAAGGTCAGTGATGTGTTTGTATGTCTGTGTGTGTCTGTTTGTATACTGATGTGTGCACCGATTGTTTATGTGTCCATACCTATTACATGAAATCATGATCTGAGAAGCTTTTACCAAAAATGCAGTAAAAAAAAAAACAAAGTAAATTCAGCTTGCCTAACACGCAATTATCTTAGATGACCTAGGTTGACCTTGACC